ATATTTTTCAATTAAAGCAGGGCTATTTAGATATTGTTCGTAATGGGCATTGCTTTCCTCTGGAGGAGATGATGCACGGTCACGAGAAAGAGGGGCTTTACCTTTGGAAGTTCTAGGGCGTTTGCTAGAGGTACTAGCCATGGATTAAAATGAAACCCTAGAAAAAGAAATGAGAGAAGGAAGGGGTTATACCAAGTCGAGGAAGACTGAGTGCAGACGATGACTGCAAGAGAGGACGAGTCGACCGGTGATGATGAGTCGGCTGGAGATGAGGGTCGACTGTAGTGAAGGAACGGCTGGAGGAAAGAAAAGAAGGAAAGAGGATTAAAGAAGAAGATGAACTAGGGCTTTTGATATGGGATTAACGGTCAAGATTTGGTCAAAATGATGAGTGTAGGGTCAGGATACAGGTAGACAAACGGGTCGGGTCTATATAACATCTCAAAACCAAAACCGAAAGAAATAGATACAGGAAAAGAGTCTCCCGACGGTAGAAGGTCGACTTGGAGTCGACTACACATTGTGAGTCGACCTCAAGCCGACTCACAATGTAGGTCGCCGACTCACAATGTAGGTCACAAGATTAAATAAGCTTAAATATTTATAAAATATTTTAAACAAAAAAATAGCAACAAACAACAAAAAAAAACAAATAATTTATTGAGAAATTAAGCTGTAAGTATAGCACGTTAATATGTAAGTATAGCACGTTAACCTGTAAGTATAGCACGTTAATATTAAAGTATAACACGTTAATCTGTAAGTATAGCACGTTAACCTGTAAGTATAGCACGTTAATCTATAAGTATATCACGTTAATATGAAAGTATAGCACGTAAATCCGAAAGTATAGCACGTTAATCTGTAAGTATAGCACGTAAATCCGAAAGTATAGCACGTTAATATGAAAGTATAGCACGTTATATTGAGAGTATAGCACGTTAACCTGTAAGTATAGCATGTTAACCTGTAAGTATAGCACGTTAATATGAAAGTATAGCACGTTATATTGAGAGTATAGCACGTAGATCGGTAAGTATAGCACATTATATTAAGAGTATATCATATTAAGAAGTATAGCACGTAAATCCGAAAGTATAGCACGTTAATATGTAAGTATAGCACGTTAATATGAAAGTATATTACGTAAATCCGAAAGTATAGCACGTTAACCTGTAAGTATAGCATGTTAACCTGTAAGTATAGCACGTTAATATGAAAGTATAGCATGTTATATTGAGAGTATAGCACGTAGATCGGTAAGTATAGCACATTATATTAAGAGTATATCACATTAAGGAGTAAGTATAGCACGTTATATCGAAAGTATAGCACGTTATATTAAGAGTATAGCACGTTAAGGAAGTATAGCACGTTATATTAAGAGTATAGCACGTTAAGGAGTACGTATAGCACGATATATCGAAAGTATAACACGTTAATCTGTAAGTATAGCACGTTAATATGAAAGTATAGCACGTTAATCTGTAAATATAGCACGTTAATATGAAAGTATAGCACGTTAATCTGTAAGTATAGCACGTTAACCTGTAAGTATAGCACGTTAATCTGTAAGTATAGCACGTTAACCTGTAAGTATAGCACGTTAATCTGTAAGTATAGCATGTTAATCTGTAAGTATAGCATGTTAATCCGAAAGTATAGCACGTTATATTTATCTGTAAGTATAGCACGTTAATATGAAAGTATAGCACGTTAATATGAAAGTATAGCACGTTAATATGTAAGTATAGCACGTTAACCTGTAAGTATAGCATGTTAATCCGAAAGTATAGCACGTTATATTGAGAGTATAGCACGTTAATCCGAAAGTATAGCACGTTATATCGAAAGTATAGCACGTTATATCGAAAGTATAGCACGTTATATTAAGAGTATAGCACGTTAAGGAGTACATATAGCACGATATATCGAAAGTATAGCACGTTAATCTGTAAGTATAGCACGTTAATATGAAAGTATAGCACGTTAATCTGTAAGTATAGCACGTAAATCCGAAAGTATAGCACGTTAACCTATAAGTATATCATGTTAACCTGTAAGTATAGCACGTTAATATGAAAGTATAGCACGTTATATTGAGAGTATAGCACGTAAATCCGAAAGTATAGCATGTTAATATGTAAGTATAGCACGTTAATATGAAAATATAGCACGTTAATATGAAAGTATATTATGTAAATCCGAAAGTATAGCACGTTAACCTGTAAGTATAGCATGTTAACCTGTAAGTATAGCACGTTAATATGAAAGTATAGCACGTTAATATGAAAGTATAGCACGTTATATTGAGAGTATAGCACGTAGATCGGTAAGTATAGCACATTATATTAAGAGTATATCACATTAAGGAGTAAGTATAGCACGTTATATCGAAAGTATAGCACGTTATATTAAGAGTATAGCACGTTAAGGAGTACGTATAGCACGATATATCGAAAGTATAGCACGTTAATCTGTAAGTATAGCACGTTAATATAAAAGTATAGTACGTTAATCTGTAAGTATAGCACGTTAATATGAAAGTATAGCACGTTAATCTGTAAGTATAACACGTTAATATGAAAGTATAGCACGTTAATATGTAAGTATAGCACGTTAACCTGTAAGTATAGCACATTAATATGAAAGTATAGTAAGTTAATCTGTAAGTATAGCACGTTAACCTGTAAGTATAGCACGTTAACCTGTAAGTATAGCACGTTAATCTGTAAGTATAGCACATTAATATGTAAGTATAGCACGTTAACCTGTAAGTATAGCACGTTAATATGTAAGTATAGCACGTTAACCAGTAAGTATAGCACGTTAACCAGTAAGTATAGCACGTTAACCAGTAAGTATAGCACGTTAACCAGTAAGTATAGCACGTTAACCAGTAAGTATAGCACGTTAACCAGTAAGTATAGCACGTTAACCAGTAAGTATAGCACGTTAACCAGTAAGTATAGCACGTTAACCAGTAAGTATAACACGTTAACCTGTAAGTATAGCACGTTAAGTATAGCACGTTAATCTGTAAGTATAGCACGTTAACCTGTAAGTATAGCATGTTAATCCGAAAGTATAGCACGTTATATTGAGAGTATATCACATTAAGGAGTAAGTATAGCATGTTATATCGAAAGTATAGCACGTTATATTAAGAGTATAGCACGTTAAGGAGTACGTATAGCACGATATATCGAAAGTATAGCACGTTAATCTGTAAGTATAGCACGTTAATATGAAAGTATAGCACGTTAATATGAAAGTATAGCACGTAAATCCAAAAGTATAGCACGTTAATATGAAAGTATAGCCTGTTAATCTGTAAGTATAGCACGTAAATCCGAAAGTATAGCACGTTAACATGTAAGTATAGCATGTTAACCTGTAAGTATAGCACGTTAATCTGTAAGTATAGCACGTTAATATGAAAGTATAGCACGTTAATCTGTAAGTATAGCACGTTAATATGAAAGTATAGCACGCTAATCTGTAAGTATAGCACGTTAACCTGTAAGTATAGCACGTTAATATGTAAGTATAGCACGTTAACCTGTAAGTATAGCACGTTAATATGAAAGTATAGCACGTTAATATGAAAGTATAGCACGTTAATATGTAAGTATAGCACGTTAACCTGTAAGTATAGCACGTTAATATGTAAGTATAGCACGTTAACCTGTAAGTATAGCACGTTAATATGAAAGTATAGCACGTTAATATGAAAGTATAGCACGTTAATATGTAAGTATAGCACGTTAACCTGTAAGTATAGCATGTTAATCCGAAAGTATAGCACGTTATATTGAGAGTATAGCACGTTAATCCGAAAGTATAGCATGTTATATTGTAAGTATAGAACGTTAATCTGTAAGTATAGCATATTATCGTGTAAGTATAGCACGTTAAGTATACACGTTAATCCGAAAGTATAGCTGATAATCTTCTCTTCGGAGAACTTAGCGATCCTTAAGGGAGCTTGAGGGTAGATGATTCTTATGATATCATGAGAATAATAGAGGTGTCAAACAGTACAGGGGAAAATGCACGTCAAAGTATCCAGATTTCGGGCAGTGAGTCGACTCATACATATACATGAGTCGACTCATCAGGTTGAGTCGACCTTTGCCTGTCATGAGTCGACTCATAAAACCAAGCCTAGTTCGCATTTTGGCTCTGACCAGTCGACTCATAATGTAATGAGTCGACTCATCATTTAATGAGTCGACTCATAATTTTATGAGTCGACTCATCAGTTATGCTCATCAGTTATGCTATTTATGCGTTTTTCCTATTTGGGTTGGGCTTGGTTATTTAACGTGCTATACACTTTTGTTATTTACCACTTTGCGACCCTATTTACGAGTTTAATGAAGAGAGATTAGATTGTAATTGAGATTAGATTGTTATATTAAGAGTATATCACGTTAAGGAGTAAGTATCGCATGTCTTTCATTGACATAGGATACATACAAAATTATGACAAAAAGTAAAAAGACCAAAAGTATAGCATGTCTTTCATTGATAACAAACACATAGGATACATAAAAAATCATGACAAAAGTAAAAAGACCAAAAGTATAGCATGTCTTTCATTGATAACAAACACATAGGATACATACAAAATCATGACAAAAGTATAGCATGTCTTCTATCCAAAAGTATAGCATGTCTTCTAACCAAAAGTATAGCGTAGACTATATCTAGTCTGCAATAGGCTGTCTACATGTTCTACGGTTGTGACCATACTGTTGACATCTACTACATTTTAACTCTTTGGCCGGATTCAATCCCGAAGGAATGCGCTTTGTCCTTGGTCTTCCACGAAGAATTGAAGTTGTTGGTGGCCGAATCACCATATTTTCATCATCTATATATGGCTTGTCATCGTCAGGAATTGGGTATATCGGAAAGGAGTAGCATTTGCGGTATGTCTCCGCACTAAAGTAGTGGGAAATATAGGAGTAAAGGGTGTCCATATTCTGTCGAATAGCCGTCGCCGCATGTTTGCAAGGTAGCCCGACAACTTGCCATTCACGACAAGTGCATGTGCGTTCATTCAAATCTACTTCAACGGTGGGAATATCATACACCTTGTACCTTCCGGTAGTAGAAGGAATTGCAGAAAGACAGCGTGATTGCTCATTGATATGAATAAGGTGCTCTTCCACAGTAGGAACAAATATTGTGGTCCACTTTTGTGATGCCTCCCGCCTTTCAAAACTCATCCTCATCATTTTCTTGCGGATATTATCAATTGTTTGGGTAATTGGCAAATAACGAGCTTCTTTGATCCAAGAATTGAATGACTCCGCTACGTTTGATGTCAACCATCCATATCTACATGCATGTCAATAAATAGTAAGTATAGCAGGAACATATATCTTGAAGATTTGCATTTGAAATTTTGTAAAAACTTTAATTTTAACCTCTTCCCAGGAAAATAACAATTAGCCCAATTTTCTGGACTCATCCTTAACATTTCATAATAGGCGATCTCTGATTTGTTCCGTAGCTCGTTGCATTCATTGTTATAGGCATGAGAAGTGTATGCATAAGCGGCCCTCTTCATAATTTGCACACATTCATCTCGTAAAGGTGGTGTAATGCCTTTTTTCGATAAGTTATTCTTAAAATTAGCCAAAAGATGACGAATACAATAAGAGTGATGTGACCATGGAAAGCATTTCTTCACGGAATTCTGAAGTCCTTTGTCCCTATCAGAGATTAACACCAGTTCATCATCTGGAGTATATGGATCTTCATCATTGAAGAGAATGTCTCGAATGCATTCTAAAAACCATTCCCAATTACTCTCATTTTCCGTGACGCATATGCAAATTGCTACGGGAAACATTCCACCATCTCCATTTAGTGCAGTTGCGGCAAGTAAGGTTCCTTTATACCTATAAAAGAAAAGAACAATCATGAAACAAAGTATAAAATATATGAAGTAGTACATTAATGCAAGTTTTTATTAGATTGAACTCTAACATACCTATCAAAAAGATGTGTACCATCCAAGAACAATATTGGTCTACATCCCTCCATAAACCCTTTCCAACAAGCATAATAAGACACAAATACTCGTGTAAATCTTCCGTCTTCATGCTCTAAGTGAACAATTGATCCCGGATTGGTTTCTATAACTTTATCCTTATACCATCGGAGTTGGTCATATGAAAATTTAGTATCACCATACAATTCACGTTGAGCTAGCTCTTTTCCCCACCAAATTCTATGATAAGGGACGTCCAAACCAAATTCCATTTTAAGCTTCTTTTGGAAATCAATTGGGCGATAAGTGGGTTGTTCCTTCAATATGGTCTTGAGTTGATTAGCATTCCACTTATGAGATGCCCGTTGATATCCTTCCTTTCCTATGCCTCCTCCCAAGCAACTATGAGAACTACATATTTTTTTCACATAGAATCGATCACTATCTCTACGACGGGTGCAATGAACCATCCATTCGCAATTTACGGCCTTACATTTTGCTGTCACCCTTTTGCGTTCAATTTTTACAAATTCAAAGTTAAATCCTCGTGCAATAGAGTAATTGCTTAAACTCCGCCGACAATGCTCAACATCATCAAATTCTTGACCAACACTTCTAATAGAATTGTGCCATGCAATAGGAATCGTATTAGAGCTCTCAACTTCCCGAGACATATTTTGTGAATACGATGGATTTTGTGAACGAGACACATGTTCGTCACTAGAGGGGATATACGGATTACTGCATAGAAAATTGTACAAGAGTTAAGAAAGTGATAATGTTAAAAGTACGAAACTATATCAATAGTGTAAATTACCTTATATGGACATTGTTAGCTTGTATCCCAAATAATATGTCTCGATTCATCTCAGCGTTCATGACAACAATATTCTCCTTGCAACTTCGATGTACATTGACCATTATCGAGACATCAGCATCATCACATACACGAACATAAATTTCTTGCGTGTGGGGTACTTTGTAAGTCAACTGTATCGTGCTTGCACTACAAGCAATTAGGCTTTGCACTGCAACGGCCAAATCTTTGTAACCCCCGTTGACATTTAATTCTAAAAAGTGATTGTGTCCTCTAAAATCCGTCAATGCACAATACAATTCTTCATCCATCTATATTTATCACCAAAAATAAACTAAATTTGACTAAATTTTACCAAAACTAACATTTTACCAAAATTGACGAATTTAATAATTTTTATGAACTCATTTAACTAAATTTGACTAATATTTAACTAATTGTTATGAATTCATAAAGAATAAAGAATAATGAGAAATTAGTGTGAAATAATTATGTGAAATAACTAATGTGAAATAATTATGTGAAATTAATGGGTGGTTAATTACAAAACCTCATTTAACTAACATTTTACCAAAATTGACGAATTTAATAATTTTTATGAACTCATTTAACTAACATATCAAATAATTATCATGATTAAAATGAGAAATTAATGCTATAAACTTGATAGTTGAGTAAATTGCAAGTTTGTACCTTCAAATGCTAAGAAAGTTGGTGAGAAATAATTGCTAGGTTATAGGAGAGAGTTATTAAATGATGGGTTAAAGGAGAGTGTTCGGTTATATTAATGGGGTGAGAGAGATAGAAGACGGAGAGAGAGAGAGAAGACGGAGACGGAGAGAGATAGAAGACGGAGAGAGAGGGGAGGAGGGAATTTTACCGCCACTTTTCTCTCTCTCTCTTTCTCTCTCTACATTTTTTTTATTTTATTTGAGGGGGGCCCACCTACATGAAAGTTATAAGTGGAAGGTTATTATTGGAATTTTAGAAAAATAAATAGTGGGACCCACATATGAGAGTATGGTATTTTAGAATTGGGTTTAAAAATAAATACAAAAAGTACATTGGACTTAAGGATACAAAAAATAGTACTTGGGTTTAAAAATAAATGGGAGTAAACAAATGGACCTAAAAGTAAAAATCCCATATTTTTAACAATGTACCAAATGGGAAAAGGAGTAGAAGATTTTTTAGGAGAATATAAATATCTTTAGAATCCATCTCAATTACAATGTTATATAATTACCACAATGGACAATATCAAAATCTTGTAGACTGTAGATCAGTTATAAATTTCTGTTAAAATTCATACCAGTTCATGTCAAAAAAATCTCATACTAAGCACAATGTCTATCAATCAACTTCATTATCACCAATATAAAAGTATGTTACAAAATCTATAAAAAAAATCAATGCATAGGCTACAAAATAGATCACTATACAAAGCATATGAGCATGCCTAGTTTAAGAAACAAAGCAAATAATCAAGAGATCGTCGATATCACTATCATCATCAATATAATATGGTCATTGTTATAACTATCATCAAATTGTTGATATCATCTATAAGACGATCCAAAGTTTGTCCTCGGCCATGCAGATTATTCAGAGTCAACCATTAAATGATGTAATACTAATTCCCCAGCCAATTAGCTTCCCTAATCTTTTCTTTCCTGTTACAGAACTTATTTCCAAGTAAAACTACTGCAATTATACTTTATACCTACCATAATTCTATTTGAAAATAGAATTTGGATATGTCTAGCAGCAAATGTAACAAATATTAAGAATAAAAAATGTTTTAAAATTAGCACGTAATGCCAAATGTTCCCGCATTTGCAAAATTGAGGGTATTTAAGTGCATGATTTAAAGATTTTACGTTGTTTCTAAGAAACTTTTTAGAGTGTATACATGTTGCGAGAAACAAATAAGGGTTATATAAGTGCAAGTTTAAGAAACGTTAGGGCATATAAGTGCTATAAAAAATAAGTGAGGGTATATAAGTGAGAAGTAGGCCAAACTATAGGGTGTTAAAATGCAACTAAGCCAATAACAAATTATTGAATTGCCATTTGGAAACACATTTTCTACAACAAAATACAGTATAAAATACAGATGTAGAAATAATTTCCTACGTCGAATGCTCAATGTAGTGCAATATTCAATATGGACAATTATTCATGGTTAAAGTGTTAAGCGGGTGTTTGATTCAAGCAAATTTTTGGGATATGAGGTGGATTTCAAATTCTAGGATCAAAAATTGGGTTTTTTTAGGTTTTTTGGATTCCATAACTTGTGTTTGTTTCAATAATTATTTTAGAATGTGAAATCCCAATAATATAAAACGCACCCAATTTTTAGAATTTGCCAAATCCTCTCCAATGCCAAATCCTCTCAATTGGAGAGTGATAGGCAAAATCTGCAAGCGCACAGACTCGTTGTAGCTATCAAGGTCGATCCCACAGGGACTAGGGTTAACTACTCAGTTTCACGTTTTCAACTAGCTAAATCAATGAGTAAATTAGAAGAGATTAAATAAAAGAAATAAAATAAACAGCTAATTGGATGGAATTCAATATAATGAAGGACTAGGATTGGGTTATCACCACAACTTAGGTGTTCAATGATGAATTATTTTAATTCTTGGTGTTGGTTTAATCTAGAAAGGATGAATTAGCCTAAATTAATCTAAAGCCTCTTTCAAGGTCTAAAGATCGTGCCTAATTAATCTCAATTAACCTACTTTTGTGGAATTAAGATTAAGTTAAACCCATTAAGCTTTATGCTAATCCAAATCAAATCCCCAAGGAATCTAGCCTACTTTCGTGGTTCGAGCTCCCTGCTTAATTTCTAGAGATCTGGTATTAATCTTCACCTTTCAGTCCTTCAATTAATTACCTATGATTGCTAATACGGTGATCAAGCGAATCAACAAAATTAAAACCCTAGAATTCAAGTTTAAAGATTGAAACTTTCACCAAGAACCTATATCAATTCATCATCAATCACCAAAAAATTGGGTTCTTTCCCAATCCTAGACAAGAAATCTACTCACACATGATTGGGATAAGAGAATACATCAAATAATTATGCAAATCAATCATAAGAAGAAATAAATCAAAGAGAGGAAAGAATTAACCCGTATTTTAATTGAGATCTTTAAAATCAAAACTTGCAATCCAATTTTGTACAAGAAATTAGTGTTTTTCTTCAATACTTTAACTCCAAAATAATTGCTAATTGATGGCTAAGAGAACATAACAAAAGATATCCAAAACCCTAAGTCAAAACATATATTTATATGTCCCTAAAAATCTGGAAAATAACTAATTCCCGCATCACAGGTGTGGTCTGCACCACACCAGGGTGTGGTAGGGGCTGTTTTGCTAATTTTGTGCTTGTTTCTTCAGTTTTTGGTATTTTGGCTATAACTTTTGCGTCCGGCCTCGGAATGAGGTGATTCAAATTGAGTTGGAAATCTGTTGAAGAGATCTACAACTTTCATCATTTGAGTTTTTCTTGATTCGAACTGCATCATGGTCGAAATTCCAGTTCTTCATACTCGTGCATCCATTTTCTTCACGAACCATTCCTTCGAAATCTTGTTGTTGCTTCAAACTCTTGTATAACTTCCAACGATCATCAAATATTTCAATCTTGAGCCAATACCTACATATAAGAACATAAACCACAGTAGTATCCTCGATCTAAACACGAAATATGCATTAAACACTCGTAAATCATGCTTGTAACACACTAAGATAATGCATATTTTACGTGTTTATCAACTCCCCCAAGCTTAGACTTTTGCTTGCCCTCAAGCAAATAAACAATAAAAATTAGGAGGAATGAAAGCCAAATAGAGTAGGGATCACTCCCTCATCAATACTTTAACCAATATCAAACATATCACAAAACAAATACTTTTCATCGGGACTTAACAAATTAATTTCCAAAACTCTCAACAAAATCACATTTCAAAATTTATTTACGATCACAAGCGTCACAAGTCAAGGATAGCCATCCTATCCAATTCTCAAGTCAAAGTAGGAAAAAGAAATTCATGTAACTAGCTTCAATCCCAAAGTACTAAAATTAAGACCTTCAGGTAGTTAAATTGGTAGACCTCACTTTAGGATAAGTGGACTCTCAATCTCTCATGTGTTTAAGGATGGGATTGTATCGCTCAAAATTCTTCCGAATGAATGTATTCAATCCATAAGCTTGCATTTCAT